CACCGAAGCCGCCGGTGCCTCAGAAACCCCGGGATGTCTGAAAGGGGCTGGAAAGAGCCAAGGGGTTGGGAGTCCCCTCGGGTGTGGGAAGGGAGCGCTGCCTCCCTCCCCTGGCGACCCGCCCTGCCTGAGCCGGCCTCGGTAAAGAGACCTGGCACCGCCCGCTCTCCCGGGTGAGGGCTCGGGCCGTGGGCCGTGGCTGGGATAGCAGCCCTGCTCTGGAGCTGCCTTCTGAACCGGGCCGTTAACGGGTGGTGCATCCTTGCGCCCAAAAATCAGCCTCGCCTGAGCTGCCAACACGTGGGGAAAAGGTGTTAATGATGCTGAACACTGGCTTTTGTTTGTTTTCTTGTCAGAGTAAAATTGGAAGAGATAGTTGCAGGTGATTATGAAGAGATTGGTGATGGCTTCTCTTATACACCAAAAGACCAAAAAAAAGGTCGACAAAAGCATGAAGAGGAAGAATTCTCTAAGAATGAAGAAGACAGGCATAGAAGGGAAAAAAAAAAGAATAAACATAATCCTGAGTATCCCCCTTGTAGGGAAGACACCTCTGTAGATATTTGGGACTCTCAAAAAAGGAACAAGAAAAGAAAAAGAAAGGAAGAAGTTAGTGGAAGAAATAGACTCACAGAAGGTAAGGAAGAGAGCTCTACTGACCAATCTAAAAAGCGTAAAAAAATGGAGAGGGAGAAACAGTTGGCAACAAAAAAGAAGGATGAAAAGCAGACAAAGGCCGCAGGAGCAAAGATGGCTTTAGAACAGGCAAACAAGAGCTTTTTGCTAAATTCTGGTAAAAATAACACCAAAAATACCACAACACAGTCCAGAAAAAAGAGGGTGGGATCTTCAGATTCCTCTAGCACATCATCTAACAGTGACAGCAGTGAATTAAACGTAAAGCAAAATAAATCTTCCCATAAACCTGTGGTGGCAACACTTTCCAAAGGCAAATCCCAAGCTGCTGCAAATTCTGATGTGAAAACTGTTGTTTCTAGTAAAGAGACTGTAAAGTCTAAAGCTGAAAATTCCACTAAGGCTGCAGTTAGTAAAAATGCTAAAAAATCCCAGTCCTCTAGTTCAGATTCGGACTCAAGTACAGAGGATGAGGAAGTGGGAACAGCACAAGACAGTACTGCAAAGGAAAAGTCTCGGCCTAACGACGTGGCAGCTGGAAAAAACAGTACCGCCAAGGCTCCCAAAGCAAAGACCTCCTCTTCAGAGTCTGATAGTTCAGATTCGGAAATGCTTGTTATTAAAAAACCTGCAGCAAATGCTGGACTGAGTAATTCCATAGTAAGAAATTGTATTAAACAGTTGCCAAGCAGAGTTCAAGCACCACTTGCCAGCCCAGGTCGTGGAAGGGGACGTGGAGCAGGAGAGGATAACTTCTGGAGAGGACCTAGGGGCTGTGGGTTTCGTGGGATGATGAGGGGCCAAGGCCATGGGAGAGGACCAAACCCTGGCTTCTTCTATAACTACGGCAGTGAAGGCCAGAAACAGAGGCAGTTAAATGAAGCTGCGACAAACACTTCTGTCCTTGTCCAGGTGAGTGACTTACGCAGTCATAGGTCACCTTTCTCTTGCAGCTTTGACCATATAAACAGTGTATAAAATGAGACTAATTCGTAAAAGCCGAACAAGATTAGTAGGATAAAGGTTGATCTTAACTTAGGAGATTGGGTGTTATTTACTGTATCTCCGTTTAGCAGCCTGAGGAAGTGTTTACGAAACAACATCTAAGTGATTGTATTCTATATCTCAGAACAAAGCACTGGGATACGTTCCTTGCTCTTCTCGAAACTTCTTACAATCCATACAGCATAAACATTGTCTTCTGTTTGTATTAATGCAGTAACCAAATCAGTGGCTTTACCGTTTCACAGAATCCTGTGGAGGTCCCCAAGAGAGACTATAGTGTGTTACCTCTTCTAGCTGCTCCGCCACAAGTGGGAGAAAGGATCGCCTTTAAGGTAAAGACCTTGTGAAACACTGGATGTTAGTGGGCTAAAACTGTTTCGTTGGGGCCACTTGGTAAGTCTTGCAGGACACAGGTGGGGTAGTCCCGACAGTGAAGAGCTTACACTGAAGAACTTGATCTTACCTTGTTCTGGGACCATGACCCTAGAAGTGTAAGAGTTAGGAAGCGGTCTTCATCCTACTTATTTGTTCTTCTTTAAAAATTCTGGTTTAAACTTAAGCAAATGTTTGTAAGTGTCTCTGAAAGCGTTCGCTCCTCTTGCAGTCTAATTCATTTCCCATACAACAGCAACTGTTGTCGTTTCTGTTGTTGGCTCTAAAAAATTCTTTTGTTGTAAAGTCTGACTTTGATTTTTACAAAGGTTTGAGGCATGTGCGTGAGTTAAATGCATTTCTTTAGACTGCCTGTATTTGTGTAACACAAACAAACAAATGTCTCTGCTGTCGTTGCAGTGTGAATTTCCATGCGCATTTGTACAATGGCTCTCTTAGCCCACAGGTCAGGTCACAAATAACAGAATTTTCTGGTTGCACCTTCACAAAGTCTCTCTCTACTGTGGGCATATTTTCAAGGTTTATGTTCAAGTAAGAATCCAGAAAGAAGCATGTTACCCCTCCCTTTCCAACAGGCAAGGAAAGTCAGCATTAAAATTAGATGCTATAAAAAGAAAAAAAAAATCTCAACGTTGTTGTTTCTCTCTATAGTGTTTCTACAATATCATGGCAAATCTTGCCATACAAATAATTACACTTCACTGCAAAATAAAAAAGTAAATGAAAATTAAATCACTGCCGTTGAGGAGACTAGGATCCATCTCCTTGATCTCCTCTCACAGCCTGACCTGAACGTAAACCCTGTGGAGCAGCGAGTCCTGGAAGACTCCCTGGGACTGTGATTGGCATCAGGATCTGGGGGTGGGAGACATGGTTCTTGCACTTTCCTCTTGCTGAAGAAACTGTGTCTGGGTATAGGTGGCACCATCAAGGATCAGGAAAAGTTGTGATTTGTTATTTAAATTTCTTTCAACAGCGCTTGGAACTAACTGAAAATTACAGTCCTGAAGTTTCAGACTACAAGGTACTGTTTATCTTTCCTCCCTTAATTCACTCACAAAACTAGGTAAGGCTTACATGAGGTTGTGCAGTGTTTTTCTTCTCATCCAGTTGACTCCGCAGGCTATTCCTGTGCAGCAGTAAAAATGAAAACTAATTTAAAATTTGAAAGGTGTAGCCGTTATTTAAAAAAACCTGCAAGCCTCATTAATGATCATTAGTATTTTAGAGATGACAACGCAGCTGTATTCAAGTCTGCTGCTGTTCAAAGTCCAGGCAAATTCTTGAAACTGATGCAAGTAAAATTTTGTCGCTACCTCAGGTAACTTAGTTTTCGGGTAGGGTCTGATTTAAACTGCAAAGATGGTGACAGTGAATAACTTTGGTTTGCTGATGCCAGGAACTGCAGATCGCTGGGCTTTAATACTTTGCAGATTTTATACATAGATATAGAGGAAGTGTGGGAAGTATGTATGCCTGCCAGGTTTTTTTGACTGTGATGGTTGTAAATACGGTGTAGTTATCCAGTGCTGAAGTATGTCTTACCTGATTCTTTTCTTGTTGCTTTGTGAAGGAGGGAAAAATAATCAGTTGGAACGCTGATAAAAAACAGATCGAGCTTGAGATCCTTTCAGCATCACCAGCACAATGTACGTACCCTGGGGCACCAAATGCTTGTTGTCACGTGCATCACTTGAAAAACAGCTAGTCCGCACACGTCACGTTTCAGGAGTATTTCCAGTTTCCTTGGGTCCCTTCTCAACGCACCCCTGCCCTCCTCACTCCCTCCCCAAAAAGTCTGTTTCAGTGGGCAATGTCTAACCCTTGCTAGTTGTATTGAAGGTGCTCACGGGTGAGATTTGTCCAGTCCGTGTGAGTAGTCAGTAACTCATCCCTATTGTGGCTTCATTTCCTGAAAAAATCAAAATCATTATATGGAATTGCAGAGAAGATTTGAGATCACAGCGATGTCAGTGAAGCTGCTGTCCTCAGTGGATGTGGAACCGAGCCCCTGCAGTGACGAAGTGCCCTTCAGAGACCCGAAACTATGAAGGTCTCTGACGCTGAACGTGCATGCTGCGGTTGCCATTTAAGCCAGCGTTCATGAATCATCATCATATGAGCATTTTTCTCACATTTAGGCAGCATATTGTTGATTAACTTTTTCAGGCATATAGTTATATTAATTACCGTAATGTTGGTGTGCAGCATTCAGGTCTACCTCGGATTTTTGGTTACAATTGTGAACCCAAACATCCAACTCAAAAAAGCCCTGGTTTTGGCTAGCTTTCCAAGTAGGGTAAACATTTAAACCTTCTTGCTTATAGCTAATGGAGTTGTTTGTTTGTGTTTTAAGTTGCTAAAGAGCCAGGGAAATTCGATCTGGTTTACCAGTCTGCGGATGGAGCAGAACTGATAGAGTACGCTGTTCCCCAGGATACGAAGGTACGTGGGTGTCTTGTTTTGAAGCCTGTCACACAGTTTGTGTAGCTGATACACGCCCTGCTCTGTGACTCCGTTCATCTCGGTGAGATGCCCTCCGTAATAGTGCATCTGATTAAAATAAATGGAAGCAAAACCCATCCTTTCCAGCAAGAATGTGCGTGATTACAAGATAAGAATCATTCCTTGCATGTTATTCAATTAACTAGATTCAAAACCAGTCATCAAACTGTGTAACTTCTTGGTTTGGCTACTAGAAGAAACACTCTCGTGTCTAGACAGAATATCAGTTCTTACAAGGTTATTCATTTCAGGCGCTGTTTCTCTTACCTGCACCTTGCCTTATGCGGGATGTCGGGCAGGTTGAGGTTTACAAGGTGACTGATGAATCGCAGGAAGGATCTGTGATCTTTGTTCAGAAGTGCTGCTGTTCCAGTCTAGACAAGGCATCACGTAGGAGAAATTGCATCTGCCTGTATAGCTTGTAGGTGCTAAGTATTGTCTGTGTTTTCTTTTCAGATAACTGAAAGTTGGGATGCGCTGATAGAGCCGAGACTGATTGTGAAGCCTCCAGTTAACGGATCCGGCACCGAAAATGGAACAATCTGAGAGCAAATGTAAATAACTGTGTGGACTTGTTTTGTGAAATCCTGCCGTCTAGTTCTGAGGGCAGCAGATGCACTGGTGGATATTTTTACTAAATGGTTTTAAAAAGAAACTATGCCAAAAGAAAAAAAAAAAACCCAACACTTTTTTCTTAGGATATGTTTTTATGTAATACAGGAATACTTTGTTTATTATAGGAGGTCTTTAATATAGATCCGTTGGGGCTTTTTTCTTAATAGAAGCTTAATAACAATTTTTATATCCCACTGCTGTGAGCTGCAGAACTGGAATGGTTTGATCAAAAAGATGAAATAGGACGTTGTACTGTCAGTAACTCCATTTAGATGTCTGGGTTTGGCTAGAGCCATACAGCTGCCACACAGAGGTAGCTTACTGTAAGGATAATTAAAAACAACATGTAAAAATGGATATAAATATTGTTGATGTCCACGTCCCTTCCTCTACAGCTGCAGAGCATGATACAAGTGCCATGACCTTGCAGTTATTTACAGGGTTCACCTGAACATGCCAAGAAAAGCTTGTGCATTTTCAGCTTCTTTAATTCCGAGAGGCAGATAAATCGTATTGGTAACTGTCAGCCTTGCCTAGAACGAGTGGAAGAGGATGTGAATCCCTGGCAAAATTGTGTCCCATTGTGTTAATCTGTGTAGGCTGTGAAAACCTGTTTGTTTGTTTGTTTTAAAGTAAACCCTTTTGCCCTTTAAGTGCTGAAGTTTCTGTGCCGTTTGTCTTTGTTCCTTCCTGAGAGCAGAACGGGTGACCAGGTGGTGGCAAGGTGCTTCGCTGACCTCTCTGCTGACAAGTAGCACCGAGGTAGCGCCTCGTACCCACGTAGTACTTGTGTCTCAGCAAGTCTTACAATTTAAGATAACGTTGTCCTGGGTAGTTGACTCTTAAATGGAAAACATGAAAAAAAAACCAACTCCTAGATACAAACCAACCTGAAAAATTGTACATCATGGTTTAGCTAACGCGTGCTCTGACTAGTGCACGATTACATCAAAACTTTGCACCATTACATCAAAACGTTGCACACCTTTGCATTATCCCTGTAAAAATGTCTTGTGTGTGAAGGAATCACTTCTATGTCAGTAAAACTAATTTGTGTGTTGTGGTTCTCTTCAGTTGCCGTTATTTTATGTTAGGATTTGTTTTTTAGAGAAACGGGCAGTTAGATTCATGCGTGGATATTCTTGCAAATTGGGCAAAAAGAAAATTCTAGACACTAGCACGGTCATGCTGAGACAGTTGGGATTAATGGAAAGACTTTTTTTCTAAAGGAAATAATTAATTCTTATGGAATTGCAATAACTAAACACAAGTATTGCACAGCACTTCAGAGCAGGATTCACCTCTTGTTCCATTGCTTAAGGTGCATTTTGGCCACAAATTAAATGGATGCAGCGTCCTCTGGCTGTGATGAACAGGGGATGGTTGAAAACAAATACACCCCAGAGGGGGATGTTTTGAAGATAAAAACTCGAGTTTCATGTATCCATTGTTTCCAAGTGAGGGTGGAACTACCTTTTCAATGCACCCTTTAAAGCAAGCGACTGCAGTCTGAGCAGGCTGAGCGCCCTTCCTGTCACACCCACCCACCTCTTGGAGCCCCGCACCCGGTTCCTCACACCTGGGGAGCTGCTGGGGCCTATGTGGGTGAGAAACACGGAGCAGGACAAGGACGTGGAGGTGACTGCCAGAGGGAGCCGGTGGTGCTCTGAACAAACCCTTGCTCTTTCTGCCCCTGGAGTTTGGGGTCTCTTGCAAGTCCCCTTGCTGGGGCAGCCCCAGCTGTCAGTCACAGGGGCTCCTCGCCACCCTCTATGTGATTCGCCGTTATAGGTTTGTTTATAAATTCTGTTACAGTATTTAAGAAATCCTAGTTTCTTGGCTCAGAAAGCCGGGATGCGTTTGAGCTGGCATGCTACAGCCACAGATGCACAACACCCTCTAGGCCTACAGGCAGGGAGGGCACCCGCCGCTAAAGGCTGGGC